GATACAGCATTGGAAACAATTCAAAACCTGCAAAAAGTGGTCCAGATGATTTATAATAAAATATCAGAAATGGACAATACACTGAAAGGGGAAAAGAGTAGAATAGATGAGATGAAAGCCAGAACTAGTGAATTGGAAGACAAATCTCTCAATACTGCTAAGATAGAAGAACAAACAGAAAAAAAGGATAAAACAATCTGAAGAGAGTCTAAGATTCATGTTGGATAACATGAAGAGGAACAACTTAAGAATTATTTGCATTCTGGAACAGGAAGAATCAGAGAAGTTCACAGAGGAGATAGTTGAAGAGCTTTTGGAGGAAAATTAGCCTAACATCTTGAAAGATAAGATGATAAACATTCAAGAAGCTGAACGTACCCCAGGAAGGATAGATCCCCAAAAGAAAGTCACCAAGACATATAATAATCAAGCTCTTCCAAATCAAAGACAAGGAGAGAATCCTAAATGCAGCCAAGGAGAAGAGAAGTGTCACTTGCAAAGGCAAGCAAACCAGATTAAGTTCTGACTTCTCAGCAGAAACAATGCAGGCAAAAAGGCAATGGAAAGATATATACAAAACCCTAAAAGGAAAAACTGCCAACCAAAAATCTTCTATCCAGCAAAACTATCAATCAAATACGATGGTGCAATCAGAGCATTCCAGGATAAACAGAATCTAAGAGATTTTGTCAAAACCAATCCTGCACTTCAAAACATCTTAAAGTAGGGACTTTGGACTGAAAACCAACAAGAACAGACAACAACCAGAGATTGACAGGCGTGGCAACACCACCTGGAACTCAATTGACAAGATAGGAGAGTTCAGAACAGAACAAAACTACAACAATGAACTCAAAAGAGCTGGGAGGTTAAGTGAAGATCAAAATAATATCAATGTCAAAGAAGGGATAAATGTAGGAACAGAGATCCAGGTGGTGAGAATGTCAGGGAGATTACAGTATACAATAGAGTCTCTTAAATGGAGAGAAAAGTTAATAGACTATAAGATAACCCAAAGAAAGTTAATCCTTCACAATTTACCATGAAAATGAACTTCCAAGCAGAACAAGCAAACATGAAACTAAGAAGAAACCAACAAGAAATAGCACAAAAAACACAAACTCGGCACAAGAAGGCAGGCAGAACAAAAGAATGAACAGCACTACCAAAGAATTAATATAATGACAGCAATTAATTTATACCTATCAGTAATTACATTGAATGTCAGTGAATTGAATGCACTTGTGAAGAGACAGCTTGACATATTGAATAAGAAAATAAGACCCTTCAAAATGCTGCCTGCAAGAGGCACACCTTACACAGAAAGACAAAAACAAACTAAAAGTTAAAAGATAGAAAAAAATATACCAAGCTAACTGCAACACTAAACAAGCAGGAGTGGCAATTCTAATCTCTAATAAAGTAAAGTTTAAGGAAAAAAACAGCATAAGAGATAAAGAAGGATACTATCTTATGATCAAATGGTAACTTGAGCAAGATGACATAACCATAATAAATATCTACGTTCCCAATGAAAAAGCACCAAGATATATGAAGTAAACCTTACTAGAATTGAAGAAAGAAATAGATAAATCTACAATTATAGTGGGAGATTTTAATACACCACCTTTGAAAAGGGACAGAGCAACCAGAAAGAAACATGACAAAGATACAGAGGAATTAAACAGCACAATCAACCAACTTGACCTCATAGACGTGTACAGAGCATTCAACCCAACAATAGCACAATATACTTTCTTTTCCAGTGCACGTGGAACATTCTCCAGAATTGACTATGTGTTAGGTCACAAAGCAAGCCTGCATAAATTTACAAACATTCAAAATACAACAGAGCATCTTTTCAGACCACAATGCTATAAAACTAGAAATCAACAAGAAGACTAAAGAAATAAAGTTGAATACATGGAAACTGAAAAACACCATGCAGAAAAATGACTGGGTAAAATAAGAAACTAAACATGAATTCATTAAGTTCCTAGAAACAAACAAGAATAAAAACACAACATATCAAAATCTTTGGGACATGGCAAAAACGGTGCTGAGAGGACAATTTATTGCAATAAATGCACACATCCAAAAAGAAGAAAGAACCAAAATTAACACATTAACACAGCATGTACAACAATTAGAAACTCACCAAAAGAGGGAACCTACAGTCACCAAAAGAAAAGAAATAATAAAGACCAGAGCAGAAATAAATGAGATGGAAAACAGTAAAACTATAGAAAGAACCAACTGGACAAGAAGCTGGTTCTTTGAAAGTACTAATAAATTTGACAAACCATTGGCAAACTTAACAAAAGAAAAGAGGGAGAAGACACAAATAACTTGCATTAGAAACCACATGGGTGATGTCACAATGGAACCAAACGAAATCAAAAGGATAATAACAGAATACTATGAAGAGTTGTACTCCAACAAATTCGAAAACTTAGAAGAGATGGATGCATTTTTAGAAAAACAAGACCTACCAAACTTACATAGAGTGAAGTAGAAAACTTGAACAGATCCATAACAAAAAAAGAAATTGATCTGGTCATCCAAAAACTCCCAACCAAAAGAAATCGAGGTCCAAATGGCTTCATGGGTGAGTTCTACCAAACATTCAGGGAAGAGCTGTCACCAGTTCTACTCAAATTATTCCAAAATATAGAAGAGGATGGAAAACTTCTTAATACTTTTTATGAAGCCAGCATAAACCTCATACCAAAACCATGGAAGGATAACACTAAGAAAGAAAATTATAGACCAATATCCCTCATGAACATTGTTTTTGTTGTTAGGTGCCATCGTGTTGGTACCAACCCATAGCGACCTTATGCACAGCAGAATGAAACACTGCCAGATCCTGGGCCAACATCACTACTACACACTTGAGTCCATCGATGCTGCCACTTGGCCAGTTCATCTCGTTGGGGTCTTCTTTTTCTCTGACCCTCCACTTACCAAACCAGATATCCTTCTCCAGCAACTAGCCCCTCCTGACAATATGTCCATAGTATGAGACGAAGTTTGGCCATCTTGACCACCAAGGAGCACTCTGGCTGCACTTCTTTCAAAACGGATCTATTGGTTCTTTTGGCAGCCAATGACACTGTCATATTCTCCTCCAAAATCATAACTCAAAAGCATCAATTCTTCTACTGTCTTCCTTATTCACTGTCCAGTTTTTGCATGCATATGAGGTTATTGAAAATGCCATGGCTTGGGTCAGGCACATCTTAGTCCTCACTGACATCTTTGCTCTTCAACACTTTAAAAAGGTCTTGTGCAGCAGATTTTCCTAATGCAATACATCATTTGCTTTCTTGACTGCTGCTTCCATGAGTGTTGATAGTTGATACAAGAAGAATGAAGTCCTTGACAACTTCATTTTTTTCTCCATTGATAAGAATGTCATTTATTGGTCCAGTGGTAAGGATTTTTGTTTTCTTGACATTGAGATGTACTCCATACTGAAGTAGATGTTTTAAGTCCTTGTCACTTTCAGCAAGCAAGGTTGTATCAT